TATATAGATGTTCTATAGCCATTCTTAAATAAAGATATATATCAAGCTGTCAGTTAGCAACAACTTAGCTAGCTGGATAGTTATTTCGTGTGCTAATTGTGGTTCATTTGTCCTCGCGAGTGAAAACTTCTATCTTCCAAGTTGTAAATTTCAGCTGAAGGGTCTTCAAAAGTAGCTGTGGTGCCCATGGAGAACACAAGGTTAAAGAAGTGGAAAACTGGAACGCAATTCCGAGTTCCAAGGATAACAAAATGCACCATTAGCTTTTCACACTACATGGGAAGCTAACAGGCTAACTGTCTAATGTCCACAGTTAGTTGGAACAGTTAGTTTAACATCTTCCTTAATAGTTAATTAATTTCCTTGACCAACATTGTTTTTGTCACTTATATTTTTAATTTGTTGTAAAATCAACACAATTATTATTAATTAGGTTAATTATAGAATTTTTTTTATGAGGTTTTCAATTTGGCCATCATGTCCAACGGTGATCCCCAAGGGCTGCTGTCAAGGATTTTAATATTTCTCTTTTTAGCCTTTTAATTAGTGTTTTAAGTCTTTTTGGGACTGTTTCTCCAAATGCTCTTTTTATAGGAGGAGTTTGCCAGAATAGAAAAAAATAAGTGAAATGTAAGACTTAAATTTTTTAATCAGTGAAGTAAATATGGCCATTTACTTGTCCCGCAGAGACAGACTTCACAGGACCACACAAAACATGGAGGATTTTATTCATTTGTGGGGTTTTAACAAAATTTTATGTACTATGTCAGATGAAGGACAACTACAACTTAACAAGCTCCTCATTTAATGATTTTTAGCTGACGCTTGTTTTTACATTAATACTATTTATCACTATTAATTTAATAGTGATTTTTAACTGACACTTGTTTTACATCAACATTTGATTTTATCGTTTGAATTGTGTAAATAAAGTATTGTTAAAATCCAAAATCCAATATTTCTCAGTATAACACACCTTATTCAACAGTTCAGCAAAACTCAATTAGCTAATTAGCCTACTGTTACGGTAATTAGCCATCAATGAAGAACGTTGTGCTGAAGCAAGGAAATGTTAAAACCTGCAGGACAGTGGCCTGGCCTTAAACATCTCTGACTTATAATAAAGCATTTTATTGTTAGTTTATTCTATATTAGCTAAATTATACTTTAAAAAAAAAAAAACACTTTAATGGTTTATTTAAACACTGCATAGAGTACTAGCTAGCTAGCTAGCTTCATTAAAACTTAGCTAACAAAGTTGGCAAGGCAAGTTGATTTATCCAGAACATTTTGTAACAGCACATTTCAGAGTGTTGTACATGGAAAAAATGGAACTTAGAGAAAAGTACATTAAACTTTAATAGAGGTAATTAGAAAAAATGTGAATATGAATAACTCAAGTGAGTAAACATGAATATTTAAAATGATTGATGATAATGTGATAAAGGATAGATAAAGGAAGTTGTACTACAAACTTAAACTAATAATGTTTTGATACCACTGTGAAAAAAATACTTTTTAATCTCAATTTAAAGCAACAGAGGGTTTCAGCACTTTTACAGTTTTTAGGGAGTTTTTTTTCAGATTATCAGAGTTTATGGACTCACAGTTGCTTTTCCATATTTATTGGTTCTGGTAATGGGTGTGCAGAAGATCTGAGAGATCTGGGGGGATTAAAACACTAAGAAAAAGTTTGTAAAATGTTTTCTGCCATGTTATTCTGTGATTTGTAATTCCCAGACCAGACTAAATAGAGTATATTAAAGTCTATTACCTGAGATACAGGGAGTCAGTGTAAGAATTTTAGAAATGGGCTGATGTGTTCGGTTTTCTTAGGGCCCTGTCACACTTTGAGGATTTAGCCAGCGTATGCCTGACATCCCAGAATCTTCTAAAACCCTGGCTTACGCTGAATTTTACATGTATTTTTTCAATTGTTGGCATGTACATAGCGTATTCATAACGAGTCCAGAGCATCATTCCAATGACAGCCTAGTTATGCATAACGCACGGCAGCATCATGCCCATGAAATGATGCACAAGCCAGTATCTTGAGGAGGTCAGCAATGCACTCAGAGGCACCCGGCCTGTATAAAATATGTCTGTATTTTATCGCTGTATTAACCTAACTGCTGTTTACCGCCCGCCAAAAAAAAAATTGATAGATAAATTAAAAGAAAAAGGTTGAAAGCAGGTTTGCAGTCGCAGCACATTCAGCGTCATGTCTGGTAGGAAGTTTGTTGGCAGTGGGTGTGAACGTAGGGAGGATCCATCCATCCATACCAAAAGCTGCCAATACGCGACTATACAGTAGCTGTAAGTTGGAAACACATTCAGCTGTCGCCTGGAACACGTCAGATACGTTGGTATACGTTGGAGACACATCCCGACTAAGTTATGCACAATTTACGGATAGATTTTGGATAAGCTAGACACCACGACTTATGAGTATCTTGTACTTAACATATGTCAACAATCAAATAACTTGCCTGTAAGTTATGGCCCACGTATGGCATATGCTGGCATACCTCGAGAAACTTTGAGCTCAAAATTTCTCGACGTATTCGCCGTATGTTGACATGTGCCAGCGTGTCCAAGCTTACTTCAGCGTGCTCACAACTTATACAAAACTTATCCATAACCTATTCAACCTATGCCAGCACTTTGCCAGATTTTTTATACGTCAGACATACGATGGTCTAAATCGTCAAGGTGTGATCGGGGCTTTAGGTTTAGTGAGGACGCAGGCAGCAACATTCTGGATCAACTGCAGATGTCTGATCCCCTGTTAAGACACTGTTGCAGTAATCTTTGTCTTTCTAATTTGAAAGACAAAGACATTAATTTAGTTCTTTATGTGCCTCTGAGGGCATACAGGCCTTTATACATTATGGTCAAGCCTGTATAAAAATAAGTAACCACATTAAAAACAAATTAAAATATAAATGCAAAAAAAAAAAAATTTTACATAATTATAAAGAAAATATTCTAGAAGTCTATAGCTGTTTAGTCTTTGTCTTTTGACTTTTTGCTCTCAGCAGTCGCCACAGCCATTCATTGTCTGCATCTTTTTCCGTTACACCAACTACCTTTATGTCCTCTTTAACTTAATCCATAATCCCCTGTTCCTCCTCTAGTGCTCCTCATGCTCGTCAGAATTCATCTACCTCCTTTGTACATATCCATCTCACTTATGCCTCTCTCTATATCCTAAACATCTAACATGAGCTGTCCCTTTGGGGATATCCACCCTGGTCTCTCAACACTTCCAGCTCTGCCTCCTGTATGTTGTTCAGTGCTACTGTCATATCCTCTTGAATTATTTACTGTATATGCATACTATTTCTGAATGGTGGGAATCTGACAGAGGTGTGAGTCATAGTTGGGACAGCAGCCAGCTGTGCAGATGCCTTTAAAACAGCAGGAAGCTGCAGAAATGCATTAGGCCTCACGTGGGAATTTGTAATTCCCAGACCAGGATTCCTTTGTTTCTACTTGGCCTCCAAGATGCTTCGAACGAGTTTATCTAAAACTGTATTTTCTATTTGTTTGCTTCTTGTTAGCCTTTTCTTTTTTTTTTTTGTTGCTACTGTTTTTTTATTGAAAAAAAATCTTGTTTCATTCACACCTATCCAACATTTACAAAACCAGACCTTAAAAGGATTATTTACATGTCTGAATATTGCCAGAAGAAAATCTGACCCAGCTGCCTAAACAGAACATCACAGTGATGGATGTTACATTTCCTGTTTTGTCTTTTTTCATGCAGGCGTTGAGAATGTAACCATCCAGCTGGACCTGGAGGCCGAGTTTCATTTCACGCACCTCATCATGACTTTCAAGGTGCTGAATTTATCTGATGGAACAAACACACACTCACATGTGTATGGTTTTACAAATAATAAAGAGATGGGGATTAAATCTCTCTCAGAAAGCTTCAGAAAGCCATGCAGGTCCCCTGAGAGATGTGGGAAGGGGAAGTGAGAGGAAGATGATTTTGACCTATAATAATATAAATAAAAAATACAGAAGGATGCGTTTTCCCAAACCCTTTAAATCCTGTTTTCTGGAAAAGGAAAAATCTGCATGCAATTCTTTATAGAAATTACAGATAGATGGATACAGAAAGAGAGATAACAAGATAGATTTATAGATATTTATTGATTGAATCCAAAAAGGTAAAGTATAATTCAATTACACCTATTAGAGGTATGTAATAATTAATTGGGATGCACAATATTGGGATTTCGGCCGATATCTGATATGCCGATATTTTAAAACTCATGTAGCCGATAACCGATACCGATGTTAAAGCTGGACAAAAATAAGTAGTCATTGAAAATAGCAGTTTTGTTATCCATTTCTGACACTTTGAAAAATAATATACTCAAATATATTTTCATATGCTGATATCTAATTGATTTTTAAAAACGCGGTATCAATCTATTTTACTTTCAAAATCTCGTGAAATTTCATCGTTCTGTTACAAACTCTCGTGATATTTTGCAAATTCTTGTGAGATTTTGTCAGTAAAATAGATCGATACCGCGTCAATATATCAACATATAAAAATATGGCAAAATTTCATGAATTTTCTGGGGAATTTGTAGCATAACGATGACATATAGCAATATTTCATTAGTAAAAGAGATTGATATGGTGTTTTTAAATGGCAATATATCAGCATATGAAGATATTGGGATATTTTAATGTATCAATATTTTTTCCCTGGTCTTTAGAAGTTTTTAAGTCTGTACAAAAGAAGTTTTTGAGGAAGTAGAAAAATAAATAGTATTTTTTTTTTTTTTTAGACTTTAGAAACTCAGAAGCTGATCAAATATCGGGTTAAATATCGGTGGGGTGGCCGATGTCCGATATTCAGTTTTAAGGCCGATACCGATAGGGGGCCGATTATATCGTGCATCCCTAATAATTAAATCACTTAGCAGTCTATTGTATAAGATTTCCCATCTTGTGAGAAGAAAAGCTTTTTTTTGCTTAGATTCTGCAACAGGGGTCAGGGAAAAGCATTCTTAATGCCTGAAATATGTTTTTTTTTTTACAGATATTATGATTTTTTTAAATCTAAAATGTCATCAGCTTTAAAACTTTAGATTATGTTAGAAGTCAACTATTCTAGCTATGTTCTCTGATTTTATTAAGGAGACTAGAGACACTTCCAATGCTATTGTTATATTGTTATAAGGGAGCTGTACTGGTACTAAACACGTACAAAGTCCTTCTAGATCCAACCTGAATTTAAAGAATTTAGAATAAACCATTAAATTTGAGTACGCTAAAATAGGTTCATATTCTTTTCTAAGAATAAATATGATTTCATAAATGAATATAGTCAAATCAGAGGTTGAATTACTTTGAAAAAATAAAGTTTTTTTGTTTTCACAGACGTTTCGTCCTGCTGCCATGGTGATCGAGCGCTCCATGGATTTTGGGGAAAATTGGGAGGTTTATCGATACTTTGCGTACGACTGCGAGTCTGTCTTCCCTGGGATCTCCGCCGGACCCTTGCAGAGAGTAGACGACATTATCTGCGACTCCCGCTACTCAAACATCGAGCCATCCACAGAGGGAGAGGTAAACAAGCCTTAAGATTTATTTTTATTTGGCTACTGCTTTAGAGTTTGGTTTTGATTGTTCTTTCTTGCTGTTTTAGGTGATATTCCGAGTGTTGGATCCTGTTTTTGAAATTGAAGACCCCTATAGCTTGAGGATACAGAGTAAGCTGCATCTGCTCATAATAGACAGCATGTCTCCACACAAAACAGAGTGCAAAGCCTCATTAGGGCCACTTTAAGCACAAAGAACACAAATAAAAACAGCTTCCTGTGACTTCCTGCTGTGGGTCTGCAGCTTCCCTCAGCGCTGCTGTGGGACCAGAGGTCAGACAGGAAGCGCAGTGGGGGGAATTTCACATACGGAAGCAACTCGGACTTTGTTAACTTGTTCACATCAATCCTTAGACTTTCTGAGTCTCGAAAGCATTTAGAGACCATTTGTTAAATTTGACTGATTATCCTCAGTGTGCAGAGAACAGTAAGGATTTGTTTCCCCTTAAAAAACAAAAGACTGTTCTCATTTCTTCTTATGTAAACCAATATAATGGAAAAAGTTTTAACATTTTATGTTAATTTTGGACTTAAGAGATTATTTTTCCGAAAGCTGATCATCTTTATGCCAGCTAATCTGCAAATGATCTGTTGGAGATCAACATGTTCAAGCTGAAACTTTTTAAAAATTCAAACTAGATTATCAATGACAATTTTTCTGGTTCCAGAAAATATGGTTTTGACACAACACTGGTTTGATCCTTAAACCCTTGTAGAATTTTCCTTTTTAGAAACCCAGAAAAAGGTCTCAAAAACCAAACAGCAGCTGAACGAGCTTTAAAAAAATAGGGGATTAGAAGCCACCCTCCAACAAAAGCTTAAAGAGGTTTAGAAATCTTTAAAAAATGCTAATATAGACAAGTTTTAAGAGATTTAAGTCTGATTCTTTAGGAAAAAGTTATAAGTGGTGACAGAGGACATTTTCATAGAAGCCTACTTTTTTGCCTTTCTTACATTTCAATGCTTAATCCTGTGGCTTCATATGCATTTCTGTTTTAAACCCATTTAAATACGACTTACTTCATCAAAGGGGTTTCTGCACAGCCTTAAGCAGTCTGGATTTAATCATCTTAGGTTAGGCTTTAAAAAATCTTCAATAAACAAAGATTGGTCTCAATGACACTTTAGTTAGATCCTAATTAAAGGTAATTAAAGGTCCATATACTTCTGTTTACTTTTTCATGAAACCCATTGGCAGTATTTATTCTTTCCATGTGCTGCTTTGGCTCATACATTATTAACTACAAACCGAATTACACAGCTGTTTCAAAGGCCTCTTAAGTAGAAGCGGATCACCGCTCTTTAAAAAGCCTGACATGCCGATTCCGATTTTAACTGATAGAGATTTTTCTATAACTAACACTGTCAGTTGTTGTAAGATCACAAGACACAATATATTTCAGTCTTATCTTACCAAAAAAAAAAACATAATTTCCCATTAAACAATAAAAACTTCTGAAATAACTGCTCTAAGGGTGGTTTTCAGATCGTTACATTCACCGATCTCCCAAAATTAAGAAAATCCATGCAGATCATGGCCAGCATATAAATCGGTGCACCCCCTACTCTTAAGGTCTTTGTAGGGAAATATAAAAGCTTGTTATTTATCATAAGCATAAATCATAATAGTCTAAATTGAATCTTGAAAGTAATAAAGCTTGTTGGTATCTCAAAGAAGGAATAAAAGGGGTAATAACTGTTTATCATTTTATACATTTAACTGCGTTTGTTTGAAAACTTTTAATAAAACATCTTCTTCCTGTTTGAAGAAATGCTGAGGATCACAAACCTCAGAGTAAAGTTCATCAAGCTCCACACGCTGGGTGACAACCTGCTAGACTCCAGAGGGGAGGTGACGGATAAGTACTACTACGCCCTCTACGACATGGTGGTCCGTGGGAACTGCTTCTGCTACGGCCACGCGTCGGAGTGTGCTCCTATAGCCGGAGAGGAGCGCCGAGCTGAGGGCATGGTAGATAGGAAATTTGACTTTTTATTTCGATTTTTTTCCTGCAAACAATTTGAAAAATATTTTTTTTATATATTTTTTTTACAATCTCTTCCAGTTTCTTTAGTAAAACATCTTTTATTATTTAGTTAAAATTCTGTAATTGTAATACATTTCAATATTTTACCTAATATTTGTGATTTATCTTTTATTTATATGTATATTTTTTTGCATTAGCAAATTTTTCTTGTTTGGGTAATTCTTAGTTGTTTGTAGGTTTATGGCCGCTGCGTTTGCAACCACAATACTGAGGGACTAAACTGTGAGCGCTGTCGAGACTTTTATCACGACCTGCCGTGGAGACCTGCAGAGGGCCGCAACACCCATGCCTGCAAAAGTAAGCGTGCAAAGATCAGTTTGGCTGTTTTCAGTTGCTGCTTTGAGAGTGAACAGATGATTAATAACTGATCATTTTTTTAATGCATGAAAAATGAAGCAAATATGAAACAACTAAAACTCCTGGTTTAGTTGTTATTTAGTATGCTAACTCAGGATATCTTCTCTCCAGTGTGCGAGTGCAATCGACACTCCACTAAATGTCACTTTGACCTGGAAACGTACATTTCCACCGGTAACGTTAGCGGAGGGGTGTGTGACGACTGTCAGGACAACACGGTGGGCAGACAGTGTGAGCAGTGTGCGCCTCACTTCTACCAGCACCCAAACAGAGACCTGAGAGACCCAAACATCTGTGAACGTATGTCAACCCCCCCCCTCAAACAATGGCTAATCGTTGTTTACATGAACAGTCTCTCAAACAAATGGAGGTCTATAATTATTCATGTTTTTACAGCATGTGACTGTGATCCGGAGGGATCTCTGCAGGGAGGAATTTGCGACTCGCGGACTGATGTGTCTGCCGGAATGATCTCGGGTCAATGCCGGTGCAAACTCAACGTGGAAGGGGAGCGTTGTGACCACTGCAGACAGGGACACTATGGACTGGGACAAGGGCCGGGGGGGTGCCTGCGTGAGTTTATTTCTGTATGTCATTTATTAATTGAATGAGATTTTGTGACAGGGGGTTTAGACACAAATTAATTGGAAGTTGTAGTAAACATTTTTGTTATTATTACCATATATTTAGCTGTTGAAGTTGTGCTTCTTCATTGTTAAACTGTATATTTTGGCAGCTTGTACATGCAACCCAGATGGAACGATGCCAGGAGGAAACACCTGTGATTCCAACACAGGGAAATGCTTCTGCAAACAACTCGTCACTGGTCACAACTGCGATGAGTGCAAAGTAAACTAACATAAAGTCACATTTAGTGAGGGGAATCTCACCTTGTGTGCGACTCAGGCTTTTCTGTTTTGTTCTGTTTCTTTTATAAACAGCCGGAGCACTGGGGTCTATCAAATGACATGGATGGGTGCAGACCATGTGACTGCGACCAGGGAGGAGCGGTCAACAACAAGTACGTTTAACCAAAGACATCTCAAATAAGCTAGCTTTAGTTTATCTGCATTAGGGTGGCCAGACGTCCGGCTTTAGGGCGGACAGTCCGGATTTTCATTGCACTGTCCGGCGTCCGGCGCCGCATTCAGCCGGATGTGTATTTGTCCTACTTTATGAGGCACTAGGCTTGTAGAGCAGATTTTTATTTCTTTTCTTTTTACTGGGCTGCAGCACAATATCCAATCATCAAAAATGCATCATCTGATCTAACAGATGATTGGCTAAGAGTGGCAGCGTGTCAGATAAAGATCTGCTTGTCATTGGTTACAAAAGTAAACAAGGATCAGAATTACTGATGCTAAATGTTAAAGTTAGCGTCCTGTCAAAACCAGGACGTCATTTAACCCAGAATGGACAAAAGAGCGTGAATTTACAACCAAAGGTAGTGGAGATTCTTTCTATGGTTTCTGCCACTTTGTCAACCAGATGTGGGCGTAAGCAGTCGAGGAAAAGCTGCTATTGAACGGCGTGCGAGTACGGATTAAGAGAAAAGTAATAAACGTGCAGCAGCGAACTCTTCAATGTTGGCTTTTACATTAAGTTTTGTCGGGTAAGCAAGAAGGTGAGTGGGATGGATCCTCCCTGCGTTCACGCCCACGACCAACAAACTTCCTAATAGACATGGCGTTGGGACTACAAACCATTTTTCTTTCTTTTTAATTATTTATTTATTTGTGGGCGGTAAACGGCAGTTAGGTTAATACCGCGATCAAAGACATGCTTTGTGACATTTCAAGGGCATTATTCTGCCGTGAGTTATGCATAAGTTAGGCTGTTGTTGGACATAAGTTCTGGACTCGTTATGAATACTCTATATATACACGCCCCAAAATTTAAAAAATATATAGAAAGTTCAGCGTACGGCAACATATTATACGATTTAGGGACGTCAGGAATACGCTGGCTAAATCGTCAAGGTGTTACAGCGGCTTAAGGTAGTGTACTCAGTCTGGCAAAAATGCGACAATTGGAATTAATGTAAATAAATAAAAAGATCTTAAACCGGGGGGGGGGGGAAAAACATATAAAAACACAGCTTAGTCATTATTAACTGATATTTCCAGGATATATTCCTTGATTCACCTAAATATTTACTGTTCTTCAAACTTTGTTCTAACTTTAGAGAAACACTGTAAAACTTTTAGCCACTAGGGGTGATAGACCTGTACCTTCCACTGGTGACACTACGCTGTTGCAAGATCAAATAGTCTCCCTTCATTTGGAACTGATTATTAATATTGGATTGAATATTGACTTGATCGCTTGATCAAGCCTTTTCCAACATTCTACAGTACAAAATAAGTAATAAAAGTATGTATGATTCATACTAATACCGTATCTGGTCAGTATCAGTATCAGTCAATTCTCAAAGCTGCAATATGGGCATTGAATTGGGAAATGGAAAACCTGTATCAGGACAGCCCTAAATCTGATAGTAGACCACTTTGAACCAGTAAATGTAAGTAATTGCATTCCTTGTAAATACAAGGCCACATTCACCTTTCTAGATTAAATCCTACATCAGAGAATAAATGGATTTAATTAAAAGCACTGAGCTGCCCCATTTCAGAGACCAGCAACCGCCACTGATTGATAGGCACCAAGTGCTTTTTATTGGCCTGAAAAATCATTTAATATGTCATAGTTAACTAATACTTGGGTCAAAAGTTATATAGTGTTGTTTTAGTGTCTCTTTCAATTTTTTTTAAAATGGTTTAAAACTGTAGTTTTCTGCACTATTTAATAACATGGATTACGTATCCTTAAAATATTGTCCTCTTTCAAAACACTAAAAGGCCCTTAGAAGGCATTTGATTCCAAAAGCCTTCTAAGATACAAGCATAAAGTTTGACATTTCTTCTCTCTCTACAGCTGTGATCCCTTCACAGGGCAGTGTGTGTGCAGGGACCACATGTTTGGACGCCGCTGCAATCAAGTGGAGTCTGGATTCTACTTTATCGCTTTGGATCACTACACGTATGAAGCAGAAGATGCCAAACATGGACCTGTACGTTTTATAGAATTTGGTGTGAATTTTCCATCATCGTCTGTTTTATCTGCTGCAGCAAAAAAACAAACAAACAAAACAAGTGTTTTTGTATTTCAGGGCGTCACATTCGTAGCGAGAGCCTATCCTCAGGACCGAAGCCCCACGTGGACTGGGATGGGCTTTGCTCATGTTCCTGAAAGAGGGTATATAGAGTTCAACGTCGACAACATCCCAGAGTCAATGGACTATGACATCCTTATCCGCTACGAGCCACAGGTAACACAGAAAAACTTTTATTATTTTTTGTGAGCTTAATCTACCTGCCTCTGTGTCAGTGTTGTAGTTTTATATGTTTGTGATCTTTTTCTAAATGAGTTTGATGTAATTTTCCCAATTAAAACTAATTTTCTATTGTTCTGCAAAAGGATTGCAGATTTTATAGCACTTTTGTGGTACTTGAAACAGTTTAATAAGTTTCCCTGTCCGTTTATTAAATAAACAAGTTCACTGCATCACAGGTCCTCCACCGTGCTTAATAGAATGAGCTGCTTCTTTTAATAATAAACATTTGTTTCATGGAATAGTTGTTGAAATGCTTCTGTTTCATTTCTTATGTCCGGACCCAATCCGTGTTGTGATAATTGATTATTATAAGAGTAGTTCAGTATGTGTTTTTGGGTTGATAGCTGCCGCAGGAGTGGGAGCAAGTGACCGTTCGAGTGGAACGCCCCGTTTTCAACCCTCCAACCTACGACGCTCACTGCATCAACTCTCTCCATAGGGGAGATGATCAGTCCATCTCTCTCCCACCTGGATCCAGGTAAAACAGCATTTTACTGCCTAACCTGAGTTGTGTGATGCACACTAGACTGAGCCTGACATGTCCTGCAGGCATGTACTGCTAGTAAGTCCCGTTTGTTTGGAGAAAGGACTGAACTACACCATCCGCCTGACTTTCCCGCTGTACTCGACGGACAGCCACATGCTGGACCCACACACGCTCATCGACTCTGTATGTTTGCATTTTTCTAAACATTTATTTGAGTCGTGAGAAGTTGAGAAAGTTGAGAAATCTCCAAATAAAGTCATCTGCTATTGCTTACTCACTAAAATACTCCCACAACCTTCCACTCGCTTTCAGCTGGTCTTGATGCCCCGGGTCAGAGAGATGGAAATGTTTCATGGGACAGAGGGTAAGGAAGCGTGGGATACGTTCCAGCGTTACAGATGTTTAGAAAGCAGCCGCAGCGTCATCAAAAGCCCGATGACGGACATCTGTAATGACTACATTTTCAGCGTCTCCGCTCTGCTGCACAAAGGAGCAATAGGTATGTAATTACTGGTTTTCTGTTATTTTACTTTTCTGCTAAATGTTCGTTTATGAAACCTTAAGGGGGATTTTTGGTATTCGGCACAAAACTGTATGCTTTTTTTATTTTCATTTTGTCCAACAATATTTGTCAATTATTCACACTAAAACATATCAGAAAAGAAAATTTAACTAAAAGAATTTAGAAACAAAAGGTGAGCTACAGATAGATATAAATTATTCATACACCTTTGAACATTACAGCCCTAAACTTTAAAGGGTATTTATTTATATAGTAAACCAGCAGAAACTTGTGCATAATTTTAAATGGGAAGTTTTTTTTTTATTTATTAGTTGTAGTTTCCAAATCTTTTTGAGTAACACAACGAAAAATCTTTGCTCTTCACTCTCTTTTAGTCTAATACCTTAAATATAGTTTGAAATAGAAATTGTAAGGAATAAAAATAAAGCTGCTTTATGAATTCCACAACCTCTCCATCAACCTTACCATCATACTGCCGCTACTGTGTTTTACAGTGGGAATGTTATTAAAGGTAATGTGCTGTTTTTGTTTTCCTCCAATCCACTTGGTAGAGAAATTTTTATTTTTTGTCTCATGTGACCAGATGACCTTATTCTACATGTTTCATGTCCCCACTTGGCTTTTTTCTTTTCATTTCATTTCTTGCCACTATTTTATTTTATCCTACAGCTGCAGAATCAAAGCTTGTCTTTGTAAATTTAATTCACTTGAGTGAATTTAATTTACAAAAACAATATTGTCTGTGGTATTTTTATCTTTAACGGCATCTTGCTTTAACTCTTTGTACTCTAAATTAGCTACTGGAACCAGAATTTCCCCAAAGGGGTAATCCCAAGCGTTTAATAAAGTTGAGATTAAGTCTAAGTCTAACCACAGCACAGAAAATTAACATTTTCTGGAGCACTGAACAAACAAAAAAAGCTATTACCGAACATATGTTGAAAATAGTCTGCAAGGAATAGCAAATCAGTTCTTGGAAGAAAATAATTGTTTTGCCCTTTGCTCTTGGAAAAAGAACAAATAATGCTGTTATTTTATTTAGAAGCCTCAATAGTTCAGTCATCAGACTCTCCCACCTCTCTACTTTCTCCCGTCTTCTCACCCAGGTTGCCACTGCGACCCTCAGGGTTCTATCAGCACCGTGTGCGAGCCAAGCGGCGGTCAGTGTCGCTGTCGTCCCAACGTGATCGGCAGAAACTGTGACCACTGTGCTCCGGCTACATTCTCATTCAGTCCTGCTGGTTGCAGATGTGAGTTTCATTAATCCCTGCTGTGTGACGTTCAGAGTTTCCTCTAGGTAATCCTAATTTATCCCCCAGCTTGTGACTGCGACCCCATCGGCTCGGTCACACCTTTCTGTCACGAGTCAACTGGTCAGTGTGAGTGCGTATCGGGAGCCACCGGACGCCAGTGTTCCCACTGCTTGCCAGGTTTTTGGGGCTTCCCCCAGTGCCGACCATGCCAATGTAATGGCCACAGCGAGTACTGTCACCCTCAGACCGGAGAGTGTCAGGGTTGCAGAGACTTCACCACCGGACATCACTGTGAGAGGTACAACAAAGATCACAACCGGTTATCTTTATGTCAGTTTAAATATTAAATATTTTACCTTTTTGGGATGGCTATAAGAACTAACTGATCAAAAGAAGATTATCAATTCTGTTAGCTGTGTTATGTATTTGGGATAGCTGTAGCTGTAGTTATGGAAGACAGAGGAAAACGTGTTTTTTAGTGCTTCCTGTGAAATACATCCTATCTTTCACCTTTAATGTTGCTGTGAAAGAAATGAATGTTCCGCCTGCTGTGTACGTAAAAAAAGTTTGTGAAAAGAATTTTCAAAAACTAGATGCAGAAACATGGCTGCATGGCTCACTGGACTGCAGCAACATCGCTTTTATTTTTCTTTCATTCAGCCAGTCTTTTATTAAGCTACAAGATTCGTGTTTAATATTCATCTGAATATTAAACACAGAAGTGAAAAAAATAGACCTCTAGCCAAGATTATAATCTTTAACTAACGAAATAATGAAAACTAGAATTAAAAAACATTTTTTCGAACTGAAATAAAAGAAAATAGACCGCTAAAACACACTTTTTGGCAGGTATGACAGTCAGGTAGGTTTTTTTCATTTGTGTTGCTGTAGCCATCTGTCTTTATCTTGGATTTAATTTAAATGGTTTTAGGTTTTATTTTTTAGTCCTATCGTATGTAAGTTGTATTACGGTACATTAAGGACTAAAATGATAACTGAAACGACTAAAAGCTAAATTAAGCATTTTCAAAAATGAAAAACTAAACTAGTTATGTTAAATACAAATTAAATCTGAAATAGGACTGAAAATCAGAAGTTAAAACTAGGTAAAATAAAATAAAGTTTCAAAACCTTGCCTCTAATGCAGGATACACAGGAAAATAAAGGGGGCCCAGCATGGAGCCTTGGTGAACTCCACATTTTAATTATCTCACACTTAATTATCTCACAGATCCAGTGATTATTTTTCTTGTTTGCTAATAATTGATACAGTTAATCAAAAGAAATTGGAGAAAATTTGTTAAGAAACTAATTTTATTTTCCAGGTGTATAAATGGTTACCATGGTGACCCACAGCTGGGGTCGGGGGGCCACTGTCGTCCCTGCATGTGTCCGGACGGCCCCCGCAGTGGTCGGCAGTTTGCGGACAGCTGTTATCTTTTAACCAATCAGCTGGTGTGTGTATGCAGCCACGGCTACAAAGGTGCGTCAACAATTTTTACAGATTAGTTTACATACACGCAGCACTTTTTTTTCATCATCATGTTTTCACAAGAGGTGCTAACCCAAATGCCTCCTCTGCTTCCCTTGTAATCAGCATGTTTTTTTTGTCTTTTTTAAATTATATTTTCTTTCCCTGTCCAGGAACCAGGTGTGATGAGTGTGCCCCAGGTTATCATGGGAACCCTCTCATTCCTGGGGGCCGCTGCACGCCTTGTGATTGTAACAACAACATCGACATGCATGACCCCGGATCCTGCGACGTCCGTACAGGCGCCTGTCTCAAATGTCTGTACCACACGCAGGGCCACTCATGCCAGCACTGCAAGCCGGGGTATTACGGCAATGCTGCAACACAGAGCTGCAGGAGTGGGTATAGATTCATATCAATGCTGTACAGAGAACTCTTTTATTGTTTCTTTAATTTGCTTCTAAGTAGCCAGACAATCCTCAAACTATTAAGTTCAGATCTTCAGCAGTGATTCCTCAAACAAACCAATATCTAGTCTAATTTCTGGGGGGTATTTATTGATTTAAGAGGTTTAAGTGTTATTCTTCTCCATATCTTTTTGTACCTTGCTGTTAGAGGGTGGACACATGTGGTTACTAGCAGTTAGTGGCTGCTCTTCTGGAGCTAAAAGTTAACTTTTGGGGAAATTACAGGGAAAAATTCCCAAACCCAAAAGGTAATTCCCAGAAGTTTTAGTTTACTTTGCCAGAAATCATTTATAAAGCTTGTGCAGGCACAAAACAGTGTTTGAAAATTGCGTACACCGACGGCAATTAATTGATTTGAGCAACTAGGTTAGATATTTTCCCAATGGAGTAAGAGGATTTATGTTTGAAATAAGAAAAAAACCTTCATCCTCTCAAGTACAAAATATTTATGGAATTTTAAGAGCAAAAATACAGTTTCTTTCTTTTGACAGATCATCATAATTACTTGCTAAAATTAAGGCAAAATTCACTATCTTTAGGAGATTTGGTTACACTTTACCATCATATCACCATCATAACGTCTTTTAAAATTGGTAAAGAGAACGTTTATTAATGATTAACATATCATTTATTAATGTTTGATTTGTTTATAAATTGCATCTACAACATTTAAAAGTTAAATAGATCATTTATTAAAGTATTAAGCCAACTGTCAGGGTAAGTCCTACATGAAAGAGCAGGTTCTTTTAAAAATAAATGCTAGGTTCAGGTTTTAAATTCACTGATGTTAGGATTAGGGCTAAACAAACATGGCAGGGAAATATGATCTATATATCTATAGGATAGGATTACAGTTTTCATCTGTTAGATCAGGAGTCTGCATCCTTGGCTTTGTGCTGACTTAATATAGTAAATGATTTGTTCTTGCCTTGTTTCTTTTTCTTTTGTTCAGTGGCCCTCATGAAAAACACTCGCCCTACTCTTGCGCCTCTTGTAAATTTTGCTTAGAACTTCCACTGACCACAAGCCAATAAACGCTTGGTCAGCAGATGAGGTTGATTTAGGTGTTGTCATGATGGGCTTTAAGGATCTGACCAACATGCAGAAACACAAGCAGAAGCCAAGGGAAAAAGTTAACAGATTTATTGTGGTTTACAAAAACACAGACTGAGAGATATACAGCTGGGTGACCATGTTGGACCTCAGTGGACTGGTGAACCGGAACAGGAAACTCTGAAGCGGAGATCACAATGATCAGTTTAGGGACCGTAGGAAAAATAACTGAGGCTTGTAATTTGCAAGAGAGACACTCGCGTTTGGGGGACTCTTGGTTAATCTTTGAATCCAGTTTGTGGGGGCTTATCCAGAGATGAGAGAACTCGTTGGAGGGCGGACAGGCAGAATAACATTGGGTCCAGAGGAGCAAAGGAGCGGACTGTCACCGGGTTTTCCTGAAGAGGACTTGAATGGATCATGTGGAGGTTTCCCCTAGCTCAATTGTGACTCAGTTTATCCTTCCAGGGTTGAAGAACATCCAGGCTTATCCAGTAGATCAGGAAGGCTTCCTGTCGGAGAACAAAGACAAAGCAAGCTTAGACTCAGAAAGACAAGGCTAAAGGTTAGACTCAGCTAATCTCAGTTTGGCTAGAGTACCCAATACTGGCAAACACTCTGGCATCAAGGTAGTGACAGCCCGCTGCTCAAATACTCCTCTGGTGATGACCCAAGGAGCCTCAGGTGTGCGAGGAGGCCCAAACGAGGACAGGGCACCATCTAGTGGTGAAAAAAAAAACCAAAAGCAACCCATTGGAACCCATTGGGGAACCCATTGGATTCCTAACAGGTGTAAGGAATCTTACCTTCAGCTGTCAGGGTTCATCTATTTTCTTTGAATGTACAGATTCATTTTTAAAGGTTAGAGGTTAGTTTTAGGGACTGATCTCTATCATGCATTGATGAATAACCTGGTACTCTCTGGAAGTGAAGCAACACCTGCAACCTGGACCCTAACAATTACTTTCAAAGTCTGGTGACTGTGTTATATGTAGTGGATGGTTGGAGAAACTGAGAATACATCCAGAAAGTACTTTTTTAATAGATTCCAAGGAAGTCTGGCTCCTAAGAAGTGATAATATGAGGGATGATCCACTGATGTGAATATTTTATCCTGTCTTTTTTAAAAGAGTGCATGTGTGACCCTATGGGGACGCTACCGTACGTCTGTTCGTCCCCTGATGACTGCCGGTGTGACCAGCGCAGCGGCCAGTGTTCCTGCCAGCCCAACGTGGTTGGACAGAACTGTGACCAGTGCGCTCCCAACACGTGGAACATCGCCAGTGGGACGGGCTGCCAGCGCTGCGACTGCGACCCCGTCCACTCTGTCAGCTCCTCCTGCAATGAGGTGAGCCAGGGCTGCACTGATTACATAAATGTTTGGGTATCCATGCTGAGGACTAGGGTTTGTTTCTGACTGTGCTGAAGTTTTTTTTCTCTGATTCAAACAAACTGAGAACCGGTATATTATATTGAATATAAGCCCATGTTCTCAGCAGAGAAAATGTGAAATAATCCGTGAAAGCAGCATGAGAGCTAAAGTTTTCCCATATGGAGGCTATCATGGGGATTTACGTTTCCCAAACATCAGTATCAAAGGGGGAACAGCAGGGTCCTGTTATGTTCCCTGCTAAACAGCTCGATCTTTGTTTATGTTACTCCTTTGATATATTGACTCTAAGGGAAATCCTTTGCTTCCTGCTCCTCTTTAACTTCTTTTATTTAAACCTACAAGTGCCTAATAAAAAAATGGAGCTTCCAGCCACCTACGAACATTGAGATCTCTGTGTTTACTGGATTCTCTCCAGCAGAGGAAGGAAGTATCTTGATACACAGTGGAACAACTGAATACACATCATTTTTCAGGACCGTTGAGTGTTAACAAACTATAAAGCTCTAGCATCTCTATATGTCAAACAAGAAGCATTAAAATATGCAGAAAATGTCTGAGCTGCTCAGTGGGAGGTCGAAAATGTGTGGAATTGAGCGTGTTGTGTTGCTGCCTTCCTGTAGGTTACGGGTCAGTGTGTGTGCGAACCAGGATTCGGTGGCAGGACGTGTAGAGAATGCAAAGAGCTGTTCTGGGGAGATCCAGAGGTCGAATGTCACGGTAGGACTTTATCTCTTCAGGACATATGAGAGAGTTAATTTGCTCCTACATTGTTAATTTACACTGACAAATACAGTCGGGTTCAAGGAAGGTATGGGCCAAGTCAAATATCTGATTTACTCAGTGGAATTTAGGGAACCTTCCCTCCGTGTCAAACAAAATAAAAAGCTAATTTAATCCAATTTCTTCCAGTTTAACCAAACAAGGTAAAGGCCAAATCAGAAAGGGTAATATATTATTTTTTTAAAATTATAATAAAATAATTACAAATAGAATGAAAAGTCCCTCGTGTGTCTGAGGTGTTTATTGCATTTTACAGTTTTTTTCCAACTCCGTGTAGCAAAGTAGCTGGAAAGAAAAAGTTGAAAACATGGCAATAAGTGGGATGGATAATGGAGAAACTACATCATGAGAACCAGATGCGCTCCAAGATTCCCAAGCATCCCTGTTTTGTCACGGAGCAACACTTTAAGGTCCCAGGATTGGGTAATATACTCCAGCTGCACCCATCCTGGTTCTGTGGAGCTGCTTCACCAGCTGTAAGCTGCTTCCTTTCTGCACAGACAACTCAGCAATGCTCCTGTTTCATGGGAACGGTGTGAGAAATGAGTGGGAGAGATATTCTTTGCTCTGATTTTGTATCAAAAATGTGCCATTAGTTATAATGTGAAGATTTTAAACTTTAATCTGATGTAAGAGTGTAATATATTTACAGGAAGAAAACATTTCTTTTAGTTTTGTTTTTTTATTGCGTTGTAGATGTTTAAAACGTTGCATTCCTTTTGCTTGACTCAGACATCCTCCTTTTCAAAGGAGGGAAGGAAACTGTGTTTGTTATTTTCTTCTGTAAAGACCCAAAATAAGAGGTTAAAGAGGTTAACCTCTTTTTGTATTCAAGTCTAAGATTACTTACTGCAGATAAAGTGTTGAAATGAAGTCGCCCCAGTTTGATGCTTGGCAGCCAGACGTTCTTGAGCAATCGTTCTCTGGGCTTTTTGAAACACTTTGTTTTCTTTCTTAAAGCTGATACTTTCCTAAAACACAGAGGTTACTATCCAAGCCTTAAATGTTCCAATTCATTAAGAAATGTAACCCACGTATTGAAAACAAACTCAACACCTCGTCTGTTCCTGTTTGGCTGTGACGTCATCCTGGAGAGAAATATCAGCTTTGCTGCTGCCATCAACGCCCTTGTTTATAGATGTTGGAGATTTGCCTGTTTTTCAGTGTAGTCCTGTTTCTCTGACTGTGACTGGCTGGCTGTGTGTTTCCTGGACAGGGCCGCCTTCTACAGCTGCTTTTTGTATCTCAGCTTCTGTCTCCTTGAACCCCAGTTGGCCTCAGCAGATGGCCGCTCACACTGAGCCTGGTTCTGCTGGAGGTTTCTTCAAGGTTAAAAGGGAGTTTTTCCTCTCCACTGTCGCTACAAGCATGCTTAGTGTGGGGGATTGTCTTTGAGTCAGTGAGTCGATGCAATCAACTGGTTTTCCTTAGATAGAAAACTCTCAATTTTACTGTATGATCTGGTGAACTGGAAAGTGCCTTGAGATGACATGTGTTGTGAATTGGTGCTATAGAAATGAGCTGAATTCAATTGAACAGTCAGGGCATCCTGCAATCTTATCTACGAAATAGATAAAATCAGCTAATCTTTTAGTTTTGTAATTCTGGACTACCAGTCGCATTAAACGTCTATTTAAAAAAGTTCTGGGAAATCCTTAAGAGTAACTTGAAATTTTTAAATTATATAAATAACCCGGATACAATTTTATGCGTACTACCTAAAGATCACCAACAATACTTTTTATGTATTAATAATGATGTTTATGTTCCTGTTTTACAAGCTTTAAGTAACGGAAAGTAACCGGTGTGCTTTGGAAAGTAACCACTAAGCTCCTGGAAGTGTTATTACTACCGAGCTACAAGTCTGCATAAAGCAGCCTCATTCTGTTAACTCTTAAAGACAAAGAGATTCTCCAAAATAGCCAGAAATTTCCATAAAGTAACCTGTAAGTTTCAGGATAGCTGATAACTGTATGTGTTGCTAAACCTGTCATGATGGGTTCACAGATGAGACCCA